TACTACTTTAAACTATATAAATAGTTATGTTACACATTTATTGTGTAATAGCCAATTATGCAAATGTCCAGTATGCTTATCATACCACTATGCTTTACGCTAAACTTTGAGATTATGACTTCATATCACAGTCTCAGATATTATTTAATATATTTAAATTAATAAATTTATAATATATTTTAATTAGAAATTAAACTTATTTTTTTAAAAATTATTTGTAAACTATTTTACTTAATAATTAAAATATAATTAAAAATTTTTATAATAAAATTTATTTAAATAAAATTAATAAAATTAAAAAAAATTTATATTAATTAATAAAATTTTGAATTAATTTAAAATAAAATATTGAAATTTTTTAATAAATACATTTTCTTTATAAAGTAAAATTACTTTTATTATATTATTAAAAAAAAAAAACTTTATAAAAAAAATTTTACAAAAAAAATTAATAAATTACTAGTATTATAAATTATAATTGATTGAAAATTATAATTTAAATCCAATTTTTACTTATTTAATGGATAACGATAAGTTATTATATAAAATTTATTTTATAATTGAAAATTATTACTTTTTAAGAGTTTTTTAATATTTATATTAATTAAATTAAAACTTAATTTTTTATATTAAATAAATATTAATTTTTAATTTTTAATTTATATTATAAAATATAAGTTTATATTATATTATATATATAATTACTTTAAAATAAATATTTTAACTTATTATTTGATTTAAATTCCTTCACTAAATACCTATTTTTTTAATATTCTTAATTTGAAATTACGTTGATAAACTAATTATTTCAAAAATTAAGACATTATATTTTATATTTTTATTTTTATTTTTACTAGCATTTAAAGTATAATATTGCTATTTGATCGATTATTTTAAAGGCCCTACTTTAACTTTAAATATCTCCTTTCTTTTTCTTAATTTGTCTTTCCTTTTGTCATGAGTTTGCTTTTGTTTTAATTTTAATTTCCAATTTTTTTCAGCACCTTCAATTGCCTTTGTCATCAAGTTTGAAGCTTGACCTCTATTCAAACGCTTCAATTCTTTATCAGTCAATTTATCCATTTTCTTTTTCAACCAAACAATTTGGTTTCTTGATAATGGCTGTTTACGCCATTTAGCAAATCGTGAAGCTACACTATAAGCATACTTTAACCCATATGTAGCTTTAATCCATTTATCACAAGCGTGTACCATGGATTCTAATAAGTCACTGGTAATGGGTAACTTGACGACGATTTTATGCTTCAGATTTTCTCTTAATGGTTTTTTATGTGTAGCATAATATAATCCTACAAATAAAATATAGCAAACACATTATAAATATAATTTATAATAAGTCATTGCCTAACTAAAAATTTCGTACCATTTTCTTTTACTATTTTTAATGTTCCATAGGATTGTAATGATAAGACATATGAGTCTTCTCCAATTCTAAGCCATGCATTATCGGAAAATTTTTGAATATGCTGTGCACCTGAGCATTCATCAATAATTTCAAAAGGATTACTATATTCTGTTATACGAATCTTTGTTGGCGCATTTATTATTATTTTGGGTTTTTCTTTTTCAGGTTTTTCCATTTCAGGTTTTTCTTTGTTATATTCACATAAATCCTCATCTGTGAGGAAATAATGATTAATATAAGAAAATGTGATGGATGGTTAACTAAACTAACCTTTAAATTCTACTGTAGGTTCTAATCCTAGTAAAGTCGGAATTGTGGCTAAATCAGGAATTTGACTATAAGAATCGATAAAATCTAACACTAGACAATCTTCTTTTTCTGGAGAAAGGCGCATCCCGCGTCCAATCATTTGTTGAAAGAGTACGGGTGATTTAGTTGGCCTACTCATTATTATGCAGTCGATATTTGGTATATCAGTTCCTTCAGTTAATATACCACAATTGACTAAAACAGGGAATTTTCTCTCTTTAAACTCTTTTAGGATCATTGCTCGAATATGAGGCTTTGTTTTGCTACTTATACCGTGAGCAATAAGTCCACGTGTTCTAAACATTTCCGTCAAACTTTCAACATGGCTAATATCTATTCCAAAAACCAACGTGGATTTTCTTTGTGCTTCAATGAATGATTAAATCAATAAATATATAGATACTATATCATAAAAAAATTAAATCAATCAATAAAAGTCATTACCTGCCAGTTCAAGATATGTGCGCACAATAACATCATTACGTGATTCCACATTGAGATACCTGGAAAGATCATACGCAATAAAATCTTCACTAGAACTTTTAACTTTGGATAAATCAACGTCGGTTTTGATTGTAGTTACTCTGAGATTACACAGCCTATAATATATTTAATATATCAAATAATATTTATAATTAGAATGAACTTCATTAATATGAATAATTTATATAATATATTCTATCACTTGCCATTTCTCCTGAATCATATCCAAGAAATCCTTATGATATGTAATTTCGTCAAATATATCTTTTAGTGCCAATCCATCATATCTTCGAACTGTGGCAGAACATCCCCAAACAAACAAATGAGTATCTTTCTTATGTGCGCCAAAATACTCCAGGATTCTACGGTAAGAAGCCGCAACAGCGTGATGAGCCTACCATATAATGAAAAATATGCATCAATCGATAAATTCTCATCAATTATTAACATAAAACAATTGTTAATTAAATTACTTCATCAATTATAATAGCTTTAAAGTGTGCAGGATTATATTTTTCAATACGATATGTTTCAGTCTTCCCGAGTGTATGCATACTACCAAGGATAACATTTGCATTTCCTTTTGCAATTCTTCCACCTTGATCTATTTCAATTGACTAAAAAATCAATTAATGACAATTCCAAAAATAAAAAAGTCTACTGAATTGAAATATAAAATTCTTGGTACAAATTCCTACCAAATTCGAATATTTTGAAATTTGCTTATATGCCTGATCAAGTAATTCTTCTCGATGAGCAAGTACAAGAACTTTATCAGCACCGGGAAAAGGAGATGGAATTTGCTTAATTAAATTTGAAAATATAACCTGTCGGTGCGTCAAAGAATAGAATAATGGTCAATAGTTGAACACCACGGATTAGATTGTATATTAAAGATGGTCTCGTTTTTTCAGCCTTTAAAAAGTACCAGATTAATTTGTGGCGTGGTAAACTAAGCTCCAACTGCGCCACATAAGGCGCAGTTATCGCTAAGGCCGGAACCGAACCGACCGAGTAGGATCGGTAGGAATGCGAGACCATCTTTAATTTCGAAGCAATAATACTTACAGTTTTCCCACTTCCTATAAGATAAAAAATTTTCCGATTAATCTTTATATACATCGAAAGCACGCTTAAACATGAAAATTCATTAGTTTGACTTACCTACGGGTAACGATACAATTTGACGGTTAATTTTATGATCAAGAAACTTGCTAAGACATGTTTCAATGCATTCTTTTTGATACGGTCTCAAATTTCGTAAGGCTAAACTATCTACTTGTGTGACTTTATTTCTTATATCCAAACGAATAAAACTTTTATTTAACATTCGTTGCTGGCATCCAGGAGAATTTGAGCAAACAAACGCAGACCTTATCGTATTATGAAATTTTAACGTGTACCTTAAACGTTCAAACGCATAACTTGAGTAAGACATTTTTTTAAAGATGAAAACTTTTTTTTTACAATAAAAATTGCTATTTAATCAGTCGCGTAGTTATTTCATGAGGAGAGGTTCCATTTTTGGAAATAGATAGAGTAAAGTTCTCTCGCAATAAGCATGTAGCTTGTCGATCACTTTTTCGATCGCCGATAGGCATACAGTGTATGCCATGCGTACACTATATAGTGAGATCATGTGCGGAAATTGTGACCAATAACTGAATCGCTAAATAAATTATTAAGTTTATTCAACATTGGTTAGTGGTTTATTGGCTCTTTTCAATAAACTATTGGGATTTATTTTGATTATATCCCGTGATTTGAATTTATTCTAAAATCCCGAAACTTAAATTTTTATTAAAAAAATATTTATTATATTAAAAATATAACCAAATTAATACATATTGATTTATTATATATACAAATATTGTTAATTATTATTATTAATAAAATCTGGAGCTTCTAATCCTTCTGGAAATAATTCAGATAAACGCCATTTTGCATTAATAGACACATCTTCTAATGTAAATTTTATTAGAAAAAGCTTGGTCGATAAGCTCGAAATGGAGTACACTAAATATAAAGAAAAAACAGGTTAGAATGTTTGAATTTATCTTTTTGATACGAGGAAGATAGACTAGTATCTACTAATAGTGATGATGTTTTTAATGATTTTAAGGTTATTGAAAAGCTGAAAGTAGACCTTGTATTAGAATTATCATGGTTATGGCTTTGTAAAACAAAAATAGATATAAGAAAACAAGGATTAACAATCTATGATGATTTGTGCTATTTTGCGATGAGACAGACTTATTTGAATCCAAAGAAACCAATGATTCCAAACATGCAGGTTTGAAGTAATGATCACATACTTTTATTTTTTGATTAAAGATAAAATACAACTAATCTATTATGGAAATATATAGCCTCCTTGAAGGAAGAGATATACTTAATTAGTTAGATCGAACACCCCTCCAATTTCTCTAGCATTGAAACCTAAAAGAGGCAAAGTATCAGTTAAAGATAACTGATTACTAAATGAATTTTTTAAAGCATATAAGGCATAGATTTCATTATCAGGTCTAGGCTTACGTAGGTTTATTTTTTTACTTTAAATATTATATATCATAATAAAAAAATGGTAATTATGAACTGTGTAGTCGAAGAAAATATCCCTATTGAAGCATTAATTGTTACATGTGCTGATGCTAACTGCATTAGCCATAAATATATTTCTGAATTAGAAATTACATATTACAGTGAAAATAATAACATTAAAACTCCAGATGCAACCTATTCTATATTAGTAAAGGTTAATCTGCATATTGGCTTTAATGATAATGAAAAACATAAAAGCATTGGGCCCAATGAATTTATGGTTCTTGGGCTAGATTGGCTAAGACCTGATTTATTTTTAGGAGAGTCTTGGTTGTGAGAAAGTGATGCAACTTTGAATATATGCAATTATTTGATAATGATTTTGTGATCCCATTCAAAAAGTAAAATATTAGCCTATGTAAAATAGTGATTTTGAGTGATGTTCGTCAAGTTAGAAGATTTTTTTTATTTAAATATGAGAGTATAATACAGATATATAATTTATGACGTATACAAGTATTTTTAATAGCAGAAGTATTTTAGAAAGATTTTTAAAAATAGTATCTAAAGGAGAAAAAAAGCCAGTTTATAGCTTAAAACTAACTCATCTTAAAATAACACACTACCATTCATTTTCAAATAAAAAAATCAAAGATATTGTATACACATTCTGAATATAATTTACTTAGACTTTAAAAAAAGCATAGATCTTACAGGTAAAGTTCTAAAGTTAATAGCGAAATCATATCCAAATTTGGAGTATCTTAATATATTTAATTTATGCGTATGATTTAAATCAGAAAATGATATAGGTTTATCTGCAATCGCAAATTTATGTCACAAACTAGAATATCTAAATATTTCTAATCACACAGAGTTTTCTGAAATATCAATTTGTAATGTTGTTTACTCTTGCCTAAAACTCTAATAACTTGACCTTACCTCTTGTAGAATTACCGATCTAATTATCAAAGAAATTGCCAGATCATGTTATAATTTAAAATACCTTAATTTGATGGGATGTTATAAAATTAGCAAAGAAGCTGTAGCTCAGCTTAATTCAGATATTCATATCAAAAATTTCAATGCTTTAAAAAATCCTAGTCTTATTATCGCATTCAGTGATTATCTTAGACAGGCTGATACTACCCATCAGAGTCTATTTTAGCTAATATTTCTGATACGACCTGAACTGATCAAATTTTACATCAGAATCTGATGCAGGCTTTAGATCAGATAAACTGGCAACCTAACAGACAATCACCAAAGAATTATTTTGATAGAATACTAGCTGATCAAACAGAATGCTGGTACTTTACTGATTTAACTAGATCAGAGTGGTGATTATCAGCTCAGAAAATTTTTTCTAAATCACATATTGTGCAACAAAAATATGCGAATCACAAGACAGTTTGTGTGATATATAATAATTTTCTTATATACTGAAAAGAAGCTACGCATGCTAACTAATACTTTATTTTTTATTAAGTATAATAGATCTATTAGCAAAATGTCAAATGATGAGATAGATGCTGAGACAGAAGAACATTACAATTAGTAGTATCAGCTGTTGGAGTCAGAGTCGATGGCTGAATCAACTGAAAAGTCTCTAACAGCTGACTGAATCAATTTCAGAATTTGTTTCGACTAGTACTACTAGTTATAATAAATTTATCAAAATATATGGATTGAAATATGAATGGGATAATAAAGGGATTACTGAATTTATACCAGAGTGAAAAGACTGGGAAGATCTTTTTTGCGAAATCAAAATATATTGGAAGCAATTAGGCATTGAAGAGAAAAAATACTTAAGAAATTTGTATATAGTTTACCCAACGTAAGAAATCTAACATCATTATTTCATGTATTCATACAATCTAATGCTTTTTATTTTTTACAAATTTTAAGCTTGATAGAATTACTATATGATACTAAGGAACTTCGATAGAAAATATGGCCATATGGTATTGTATAGTTACAGTACAAAACCATAATAGGCTAATGTCAAAAGTCAAAACTAAAACCTTCAAAAGTCTAAATGTTTCGATAGGTTTTGGCAAGTTTAAATAGGCGTTGAAACGTCTAAACTTAGACAAAACTTTAGACCAATCATAATCAGTCATTCGTGTTCATCATTTCAAATAAAATTTTTTTTTGGAAATTTGTTGTTTTTTGTGGAAAAAATAAAACCTTTATTTTATTTAACTTTTGTATAAATGAAAGTTTACTTAAAATCCCATCCAGGTTGTAAACCACCTATTCCATCCCAGGATTCCGATGGGCTTTAGCAACTACAAAGAGAGAAGTAAGTAAAAGGTTAATTTTTTTTATAATATTTTTAAAAGAAAAAGAATATTGCTTACCACTGATTCTCATTCAACCAGGATTCCAGGGTTCTGAAGGCTTCGACAACCTACAAAAAAGTATTATTTTTTTTTTAATTAATTATTTTTAAAAAATAAAATAAAATAAAATACTAACCTTCAATTTATTTCACAATTCCAGAGTAGGCTTTTTAGGCATTTACAAAAGGAGATAAGATTATTTTTTTTTTAATAATACTAAAAAAAACAATACATACTTACCTCCAATTCATTTAATCCAGAATTCCAGAACCCAAAGAGCTTTAACATCTACAAAAAAAGGTAAGTGTAAGAATTTGTTTTGTTAATTTAACTATTTAAAAAAAAAATTTAAAATACTAACCTTTGATTTATTCCAGGATTCTGAAGTAGACTTTCGGCATCTACAAAAAGAGGTAAGTGAAAATATTAGATTTTTTTTTTAAATAACAAATAACATTACTTACCTCCGATTCATTTAATCCAGGATTCCAGGATTTAGAAGGCTTCAGTACCTACAAAGAGAGGTAAGTGTAAGAATTAGGTTTGTTAATTTAACTATTTAAAAAAAAATTTAAAATACTAACTTTCAATTTATTTCAAGATTCTGGAGTTAGAATTTTCTAATTATTGAAGAGTTTGTTCAAATTCTTGTTCTTTTGAGTTAGAATCAATAAACTTTTTGCTTATTTTTATAATAAAATTTTAATATTCTTGCTAGATATACCTCCTTCTCCAATACTCCCTACAGTGGACTTTCGGCATTTACAAAAAGAGATAAGCAAAAATATTAGATTTTTTTTTAAATAACAAATAACATTACTTACCTCTGATTCATTTAATTCAGGATTCCAGGATTCAGAAGGCTTCAGTAACTTATAAAAAGAAATAAGTGCAAGTATTAAATTTTTTTAATACTAACCTACCTTCGATTTATTCTAGGATTCTAGAGTAAATTTTCAGCATCTACAAAAGAAAGTAAGTAAAATTATTAAATTTTTTTTAATATTTTAAAAATAATACTTACCCCCGATTCATTTAATCTAGGATTCCAGGATCCGGAAGACTTCGGCAACCTACAAAAGGAGGTAAGTAAAATTATTAATTTTTTTTTAATAATTTAAAAACAATACTTACCTCCAATTCATTTAATCCAGGATTCTAGGATCCAGAGGACTTCGACAACCTACAAAGAGAGTTAAGTGCAAGTATTAATTTTTTTGATATTTAATTATTTAGAAAAAAATAATTAAAATACTAACCTACTTTCAATTGATTCTGAAGTGAATTTTCAGCATCTACAAAAGGAGGTAAGTAAAATTATTAATTTTTTTTTTAATATTTTAAAAACAATACTTATTCCCAATTCATTTAATTCAGGATTCTAGGATCCAGAGGACTTCAGCAACCTATAAAGAGAGATAAGTGCAATTATTAATTTTTTAATTTAATTATTTAGAAAAAATAATTAAAATACTAACCTTCAATTTATTCCAGGATTCTGGAATAGATTTTCAGCATCTACAAAAGGAGGTAAGTAAAATTATTAAAT